CGCCGTCGAGACACGTGACGGCACGTGCGAGCGTAGCATTGTCTCCTAGACAACGGGAAAATGCCAGCGAGGAACCAAATACAAATGGGGATCGCTTTACTCGTTTTCTGCGCACGTGCGGAGCTCATGCACAGTACGGGTTTGTTTTGTTTTTCAGAAAAGCCCTTGAGCTTTTTGAGAGTATCAGTGAGCGGAGGGACATGCGTTGCACGTGTTTGCTTTGTTTTTCAAAATTCTCAAAATGGAATCTATTCTAAACAAGTCTATCATGGGTTTTTTTAGATATTTTTTCAGACTCATTGCTCCTACAGCCATATTAAGTAGCAGTGAAAATTTTGTATCCACTTTTCTTGATACTATGTATGTATCAGAGATATCATGGCTAATTTTTTAGAAGAATTTTTGACAACGGACTCTAATAAATGAGATTTCAAATAAATGTTTACATAATATTATTCTATTCGAAGAAATGACTGATTGAAATATTAAGTTAGTTGTTTCATTGATATGAGCGTTGTTGATATCCTAAGATCAAACAATGAGAGTAACGGGTAATCCCGAGTTTAGCAAGGGGGCTTAAGGTTGATATGAGTGATGTGGGTTCCCTCATCTCCTTTGAAGTCCAGTCTCTTATCTGTATAAGAGAGTTGTGGCCCCCATGGGGGCTTCCCCCTCCAGTCCCCCTCCGCTAGTAGGCAATGAGTCTATATATATACCCAGCTAAGAGGGGTAAATATGTAACTGTGGCCGAATCCAGACAGGCAGCTGACTCGGTAGACAGCTGACATGTGTCAGCCGTTGGCGAAGATGGTCATTCAGGTGGTTAGTGAAAAGCGACAACAATTGCTTGGTATTGACAGAGCGTGATAAGTCATAAAGACTTTTAGGGCTAAAGTAATGATGTTTTTGACCATGCGTTTAATGTGATTGTGACTGGCTGTTAACAGGGGAATCGAGGAAGATCGTCTTTCGACTCGGCCTAGCAAGAAGTGATGAGTCGGGTTGCTTGTCGATCTGATAGGTAGGTCGGCAAGTGACACCCCTCAAGTCGACCATGTAAGTAGACTGGTCTGGCATGGAGCGGGATATGTGTCGGCTCCCTAAGAAAGAGTAACACTTTGTTATTTGCAGGCTATAACAATGGACCCCTTTCATTCGAACTCGGCTAACCGAGTACAGGTAAAAGTTGAATAAAAAGTTAGATTTTTGTCTTCTCCATATTTGTATCTTTCTTGCTTGCATTTGTCTCATGCTTTGTTTGAGTCCATGTTTTTATAGAGTTGATGTGACTTAGTCGTTATGGCGAATGGGGAACTCGACCCCATATCTTGTTTATTAAATATGATCACAAGGTTCTAAAATGTGTGTCTTAGGCTTATAAACGTGCCAAGATCTTGCTGTAGACATTTTTAGATAGAAATATTTTTATTTTTGTTAATTTGAACTATGTACCTTTAGGGACCAGTCGAGACTACTCAGCCCCCTATGAGGAGTAGTGCTACTCGACCTCGTGCCTTGGATTTATTTGTGAGGACACCAAGGTCTTGGGGTACATGCATTAGGCTTAGGAAGATGCCAAGGTCTTGCTACAAATATTTTAGACGCAAATATTTGTCTTTATTAATTTAAACCGCATATCTTTGAGCATTCATCTGTTTTTTGTGTTGAGACGACTCAGATTCGTGCCTTGGTTTTACTCGCAATGACACCAAGGTCTTAGGGTGCGTGACTTGGGCTTAGAAAGATGCTAAGGTCTTTTAGCCGATGTAGGCCGAGTCGATATGCATTGGTTTTACATTGAGTAGGCACCAAGATCTCAGTGTTTGTTGTTCAGCACTTTCTAAGCTGTAAACACTGTCAGAAGTATTTTATTTTTATTAATTTGAACCGCGTACCTTTGAGTATCTATCGGTTTTTTGGGTTGAGATGACTCGGATTAGTGCACTGGATTTATTTAAAATGAAATCAAGATCTTTGGTATGTGCCTTAGGCTTAGGAAGATGCGAAGGTTGTTTTTGTCGAGGTAGATTGAGTTGACGTACCTTTGTTTTACCTTAAAAAGGTACAAATGTCTTTTTATCGATGGTGTGCCTTGATTTTACCCTGAATAAGCACCAAGGTCTTTGGTGTCGGAGCCGACCAAATCGAGGCATGCCTTGATTTTACCCTGAGAGGGTACCACGGGCTTTTTTTTGATGGCGCGTCTTGGTCTTACACTAAGTAGGTGACAAGGTCTTTTGAGTCGAAGATGACTAAATCGATGATTATCGATCAATGAAAGCTACACATATACAGCAGGGAAAAATATTTTGTTTGAAGATAGTACCATTAATTTAATTACCTTGGGGAGTTTTATGTGCCTTGGGCTTAGACATGAAAAGGTGCCAAGGTCTGGGTATTGGAGTCAACCAAGTTGATAATTTGCCTTGGTCTTGCTCATGAAAATGATGTTAAGGTCTTTTGAGTCAAAGTCAATGTCTGCACATAGGTACATGACACAAAGAATATAATAATTTAAAGATAGTATCTTTAATTTTTTACCATTAGAAGTACCATATGTGCTTTGGACGTAGACATGAAAATGATGCTAAGATTAGTGGCAGAAGTAGACCAAGTCGATAGAGATTGAATGGCAAAAGTTGTGCACATGTTAATACGTAGCATAAAAATATCTCTTATTTATAAGAGGAATGACCATAGCTTGGAGAGGTAATCCCCAAAACGTTCATGGTAAGTTTGGCATTTTAGCCCATTGTAATGACAGCTTTTTATCTACAAGCTTTGAGTACAAGGGGTTGACCATTCTTTTGTAAAAGAGAGATGAAGCGGCCCCACGGTAGGCGCCAAAACTGTTGATGTCCTGAGATCAAACAGTGAGATTAGCGGGTAATCCCGAGTTTAGCAAGGGGTCTTAAGGTCGATATGAGTGATGTGGGTTCCCTCATCTCTTTTGAAGTTCGGTCTCTTGTCTGTATAAGAGAGCTGTGACCCTCCAGGGGGCTTCCCCCTCCAGTCCCCTCCACTAGTAGGCAATGAGTCCATATATATATACCTAGCTGAGAGAGGTAAACATCTAATGCCGAGTCCAGACAGGCAACTGACTCGGCAGACAACTAACAGGTATCGGCCGCTGGTGAATATGGTCATTCACGTGGTTAGTGCAAAGAGGCAGTAGTTGCTTGGTGCTGACGGAACCTGGTGAGTCATAAAGACTTTTGGGCCTAGAGCAATGATGATTTTGATCATGTATTTAATATGATGGTGACTGGCTATTGGCGGGGGGGGTGGCGGGGGGCTCGAGGAAGATCGCCTTTTGACTCGGCCTGACGAGTTGGGAGGAGTATCACCTCTTTAGTCGCTTGGTGGAGGGCCGACTAACACCACCTTTTTACTCGGTCTCAAAAATTGTCGAGTGAGATAGTGGGCCGAGTGTGGAGGCTTATGGGTTAGATCTGATAGGTAGGTCGGTAAGTACCACCTCTCGAGTTGGCCATGTAAGTTGTCGGCTACAGGAGCGGTTCGAGTCGTTTGGGCTCTGATCATGTATAATCTGGCTTAGAGCAGGACATGTGTTGGCTCCCCAAGAAAGATTAACACTTTGTTATTTGTAGGTTATAACAAGCACATCTAAGATTAAGAAATATTCTGGGGCTCTTCTTTTGAACCAATAGTTGTATATCGAAATTTCTATTAGCTAGATCTCTCAATTGTCATAACTTGTTTGAAATAGATCCCTCTAATTGTTAATTATATTCTTGATTTGAAAGACTAATTTTAAATAACTTAAGAAGGAGGATCTAATAAGAATTTCAAAGATTTGAGGGGCTAATTCAAAAGCTTAATATGGGGACTTAATAACATTTTCAGTGATTTGCAGGATTAATTTCAAAATACAAAAGATCTAAGGGACTAATAATTGACGGCTGTTTTCCCTTTGATACCCCAAAGTTTGTCCACTACATTTTGATCCGTCAAATATTTTTCCTAACATTTTTGTACCCTAAAGCTTCGATTACACTTTGATACATCATCCACATTTTGTTAGTTTTTTTATTAAATTTATATGCGTATTCAGCACATGATTAGGGTTTCTAAGAAATAATGGTAATTATATAGAAATGATTTTTTTTGTGATGGAATTGGGTATTTTTGTCAGTTGTTAGAAAATAGCCAAACTAGTCCTTTGATTATCTTTTCTTTCACAAATATGGTTAATATTCCCTCATTAAACATATAATTAATTTTGTCAAAAATAAAATGTTTATTCAAATGAAAGAATTGTGAATTTCTACTTGATATTTAATAGGATTATTTTTATATTAGTCCCTCAAATATTTAGTATTTTGATACTAATTCCCCAAATTATTGAAATGGACTTTAGATCCCTCAAATCGTATAATTTTGAAATAGTTCCCTTGACTATATATTCCTTCCAAAATATTAACCATAGATGGTTAGTCATTAACCACGAATGGTTAATTTATTAATTTATATAGGAATTTATTTTCCCTAAAATCTTTGAATTCTCTTTCTGTATTTCATTTTTCACTTAATCTCCATAAAAAAAGTTGAAGATGTCCCCCTGTTCACCTCCAAATTGCAGACAAGAGTCAAACTCAAATTAAAATTAATTTATTTATTTGATATCTTCAAACAAACTAATTAAAACTAGTTTTTCTTAAGAAAATATTTTAATGCATAACTCTAAAATAAATTTGTTAGATAATCTTTTCATTGTAGTTATACAAAACTAAGTTTAACTTAGAAACTTTTATTTAAAATTCTAAAAAGAACATACTAACTCTTTGTTTCAATTAGTTTTCAATTCTCTTGATTGCTTTTATTTTCCAAGAATATACATGTGTGTGCGCGCATGCAATTGTCTATGTGACACACATGCATACAATGATCGTGTACTAGCTTTGGACAAATGACTCCCAACCCAATTACGCATAGGTCATTAAAAATAGAAATATTCCACAAGCTTAATTGCACAGTGAACTTAGGCTTACTTAGATAGCTCACCTTAGAGAAACCAACTCAACAAAGTTTAAAAGCCCAAGAAAAATAGGAGCAAAATAGCCAAGATAGCTCATCGATTGGGTGTTCTAACATGTTTCACATGGAAGTGTTCAAAATGATTTTATTTGATCTAGATACGAATCATATAAGATTATTTTTCTTTCAATTATGAATCTAACAAATCAAGTTTGAGTCAAATTGGAGTAGTAGAACTCAAGTTATGATCATTTTAATGAACTAGTAGCAGAAATGTAAATATTTTAAAATCATGCAGATGTTTCTAGACATGCCTCTTATAATCGAAAATTGATTCGTGGAACCTAAATTTGATTCAAGGGTTGAGATTGGTTCATGTAAGCTATAAATAAGTGCAGAGAGTGAGGGTTGGAGGAGTGAAATATTTTATAAATCCTGTTCTCGAGTATAGAATAGTCACTATTTTGTAGGCCTTTCAAATATTGTAAAACATTAGTTTTGCAATAAAAATAAAAAAAGTTCTCTTCTTAATTTTTTTTTTTTTTTTGTCTACAGATGGGGCTAACCCCTTACAATATGAGTTTTTAGTTTTAAATTTTTCTTATTTAATTACAATCGCATGTTTGGAAAATATGTCAGATTTAATTTATTTAAATCATGCTTTGCTTTCTTGTTTGGGAAAATGTGTCAAGGCCCCAAATTGAAGAACCGGATGTGGCCCAGCCCCACAAATTATTTCCATTAGGCTTTAGCCCCCAAAAAGTGTAAAAAGTGTGGCCAAGCCCCAGAAGCCCACTGTAATTCATGTACTCTACGTGTCTTCCATAGGCTCCCGAAAATACCCTCATCTCTCACCCAACAAATCATCTTCGTCTCCTCCCGCACCGACCGAGCCTCCATCGACTGGACCGACTTCAACACCACCCGCGAGCTCACCCGCACCCTCCTCCACCGCGATTAGGGCGTCAGTTGGTAGAACTCGAACCGAAACAGGCCTAGCTTTGTCAAAAATTAGTGTTCTTGATTGATTTGGGGGTTGGTTTAATTATTATTCATGCTGGTTGTTGTCTAAATTATAACAAGATGTGCGTGAGC